CGGATGAGGATGAGTCGTAACTTTTGAAGTTTTTTACTATTAAAATGAAATTGTTTTTGTTGGATTTGTTATTTGTTGAAACATCCTTGTTATATGCTATAAATGAATATTTTTTAAGAAAATTGAACGATCTCTAGTTGAGTGAAGAGAGGAATCCATGTGGGTGTTTTGTTTGGTATACTTGAAGAACTTGTGACTTGTGTAGTCCGAGACCAGAGGGCATGAATGACAACTGTTCTCATGATCAGTTTATCATTTTCATTAAATAGAGCAATTGAAACATGAAAGTAGGTGTTGAAATTCATTCAGAAGGAGAAGGTCGAGAAAGCTGATGAAGCCAGTGGAAGCTTTTTACACTCCGTGTGGAGTTGCGCTTCTTATTCACCTCTCATGTGTGTGTGTGTTGTGTTAGATCAATTGTCTTTCGAAAGAGATATTGAGTGAGGAAAATAGAAGAGCAAAGTGACAGAGACCGAATGGAAAGCAGATACACATACAGACAAAGAATTCTCTCTGGCTTTCTTCATCTTTATCCCCTCATCACTCCTTGCATCTGATTGCTCGGAACATATGAATTCCTCATATGATTTTGCCTGTTCTTTATTCATTAAATCAAAGTTGGTGCCCCGTCATTCTTTTTTCTCATTCTATTCGGATATGATACTCAAAATGCCTTTTCCAGTTTTTTAAATCTTAGTTCTTGCTTGGTTTCTATCGCAACAGGGTTCATGCTGAAATATCTATCAGCATATGTTATTTTTTGTTTTGCTTATCATTTAAATACTCATTTCCTCGGTTTAACTTCGAAATCTCTTTTTTTTTTATCCTTCCGAACTCAACGATTGTTTCCGTGGGTGCAAAATCACATGTTCTTTAGAGAGAAACAACTAATGAAATCAAAGATTCAAAGCTTTCAAATTATTTGTTTGCTCATTCTTTTTTCCGTATTGTAAGGATTCAATTGAAAATATATGACTATGTTCTGTTCTAGCTCATATGTCCGATGCTCTGGTACTCGATCAAAAAAATTTACCGAAGTCTTTGTCCGACTCTCAGGTGCGCCTAACGCTCCAAAAAAATATTTTTTGAGGTTGATTAAAACGGGAATGTTCAGGTAGTTGCTGCTCATTCCCAGAAATCGCCTGAGGCTTCTGGATTAGGACTGTATATCGAAGAAATGGGAGCGAGCGGAGCAGCTCCAGGTTTCTTTTTCTTTTAGAATATTTTAAAGCATAGTCTTAAGGCGATCGAGCCTGGGTGTTGTTGGCTCACCGACAAGAATTGCCAGTTTTAATTGAATTTGCCTTACGTGAAGAAACTGTTCCAGCAGAAGAAATTGTTGAGAGAGAGAAGGTACTTCCACATTAATAAATAAGTTATTTGTCATTTCAAGTTGATTACTTTCACCGTACCTACATTGCCCTGGGATTCGAACAATATAAGTATCAAGTTAACGTGTGGGAATTCCGAAATTTCTGTACCGTTCAAATACAGGAAGAGGTTTGTTATCCTGCGGAAATGACAAAACGCAGGCAAATGAGACGTTTTGTTCCAGATGTCGATCTGTTACACCGTGCGTTTCAATTGAAAACTTAACAGACTTTGCTACGAACGGAGATACGCTGGCACTTGTTCAACCTTTCAGCTTTCTTCTTCCTCAATTAGATAGCGAAGGCAATACGTAATCGAACTCTTGTTTTCTCTCCTTGAATTTTTGTTTCAGCGTTTTGCACTTGGCAGCACGGAATAATCAAAGTTTTGCTTTAAAAGTCCTTTTATCAGCTGTTCCAGTTCCCGATAAAGAAGGTTAATAACTAGATATATCTGAGAATATCGCAGGATTTTTTTTGCAGAAATTGTAAATATTCGCAACTCACGAGGATTGACTGCTCTCCACTGTGCCATTCGATCAGGTGACCCGGATAGCGTTCATTACTTGATTGCAAATAAAGCTCATGCTCATATAGCTGATAACCACAATAATACAGTAACTTTTATATTTCATATGATTTAAAGCATTTGAGTGCTCAGGCCGTACACTACCTAGCTGATGCCTATAATGAGGCTATTTTCAAAGAAATCCTCGAGCCAGCAACAGCAGATGATCTCAGAATCGAACAACTGAATGACGAAGGCTATACTGCATTACATCTATCAGTAAGACGGTACTAACTAGAAAGATGGTTGAGCCATAATCAAATACCTATTTCTTCCAGTTTGAAGTTAAGTTTGATAGAAATGTTGTTGGAAGCTGGTGCGAACCCTAATTCTCGCGATCGAAATGACCGAACACCTCTTCATCATGCAGTTCTGATGAACGACCCCGATGTTGTGCAGTTCCTCGTTGATCATGGATCCGATACGAATATGGAGAGTGGAGAAGGAGAAACAGCTCTTTCTCTCGCTAGAGATAATGTTAGCTACGCATTGTTTGGATACCTCCTGGATGCTGGAGCTGATCCGTCGATCAAGAATAAGAAGGGTGAAGCTTTGACTGAGACCGACGACTCAACAATCCAAAATTTGATTAAAGGCGAACGGTTTGTTACCAAGGTGATACAGTGACTTTACTATTGTTGTTGCAGGATGGCCCTTCCTGCTAAAGAAATGGTAACATCTTCTTCACCTAGTGATCTTACCACAGTAAGGGAACCGTTATTCGGTAAGTCATGCCCAAAGAGCATCGTTGAGCAACTTCATGCTGTCAAACATAGTCGAGTTATCTTGCAAAATCCGCACCCTCAAACGGAACAAGATCAATCTGAAAGGGGTACGGACTTAAAAGCGTTTCATTATTTTTCTGTTCGATGATGTACCTAAGTGCCGTTCTCTGTAGTATATTTCATGTTATAGACGATGCAGATGAAAGTTCAACTCTCAGTGGAATCAGGGAAAATGCACGTCAGAGAGCAGCTCGGCTCATGGAAGAAGTAGAACAGTTAATGAATGAACCGTCAACGAGTAGAGCTTCAACTTCAACTTCTTCAAGAAGAGCAGGAACATCAGCTGCAAATAAAGGTACTCAAATAATCGCTTTTTTGATTCTCACCACTTTTTTAGATGATATTGCTGGATTAGACTATCTGACTAGGTTGCGTCTCTCGAAAACTTTAGATGTAGACGGTAAATGGCAAGACGTCACAAAAGTATGGTTAATGTTTTTAAAAGAATCATTGCTTTCTTCAGGAGCTAGGTTGCGAGCATATGATTGAACTTATCTGTATATGTGCATCGGATTCCAA